TCAATAATACTACATAACAAGTATCGTAAATTACATAAAAAAAAAAATCTTTTTTTTTTCGACCTTGAAAAATAATTTAAACCGAAAAAAAAAATTTTTCGAAAAACCAAAAAAAAAAATTATTGCAGTATTCTACGTGAAACAACAAACATTTTTTCTCCTATAAATTTTTTTCGATTGTTACAATTTGACAGAGATAAAAAATGTTGAAAAAAACTGTCACTTCCAGGAAAAAATGCCCGTGCGCGCGTCATATTTGACGAAAATAAATTTTTGATGAGTGATTCAGATAGGGCTTGGTAATAGCTAAAAAATGGTGTACTTCAAATTTTCGTACGATTTTTTTTTCCAAAATTGGCTAATTGTCAAAAATAATAAAAAAATTTCAGAATTTTCAATTTTGCATAATTGTTGCAAAATTTAAAAAAACAATCGATGGCAACCGTGAGTCATATCATTTGAAAGCTCTCTAAAAGACCTTTCAAACGCACCGACGCGCGTCTCTGTACGTTAATTTCTACCAGAGATATAAAACTTTGAAGTTAGACTGATTTTGCCCGTGGGGGGGTAAAAGTGCGTGAGCGGCACTGTACCTTCAGGAGCAATCCTAAGAACTGTCAAAGCAGAAGGATTACGAAACTATTTAGGCATTTCCGGGCCAAAAGACCCAGTGAAAAGTCTTTTACATTTAATGAACGAATTTCATTTTATCAAAGAAGTTTGCCTAAAACCATTTCGAGTTTCGTACTGGTTTGACAAGCAGATAGACCTGTGGAATAACTTGTCAGCATTGAATCCTGTTGTGAAATTAGATGCAACAGGTAGTCTGGTGAAAAAAGTGTGTTTAAACGAAGAGCCTAGTGGTTACATTTATTTATATCAGTTGATGACGAGTGTGGACAACAGTTATGCTACACTCTCTCAAATGATAAGCTCTAGGCACGATACAAACGTCATAAATCAATGGTTGAACGAGTGGAAAAGCAATGTAAAAGTTTTACCGAATGAAGTTGTTTGCGACGATGGCTTGGCTTTGCTCTATTCCATGAGTGAAACTTTTAATGATTGTTCATACAAAATGTATTTATCGACATGTTTATTAATTCTGCTCGGATATAAAAATACACCAACATTGAAGTGTCTAATGGGTCTAGACAGAGCGCACATTATAAAATCTCCTTCCAACTGGAAATGTGTGAAAGCAAAAAATAACAAAGCTTTCACAGATTTTGTAACGAGGACAATAGCCCTGGCTTCAGTATGCCAAACACTTCAAGGGGTGAGGGACATTCTACTTGCAACATTCATTATTTTTGAAAGTAAGACGATGGTGGAGGGATCTGTATGTGACTTGAAATATGAATGGTTGATGGATGAATTGGAAAATTTTGGTATATCTTTGAACGAAAAGGATGAACCTGTACAAAAAGTAGATGATGATGAAAACTTGATGAAAATGGGTAGCACTGAAGTTGAAATAACTCTGCACATGGACAGTAATATTGTGAGAGAATATATTGAAGCTATACATGATGAAGCCGTTAAATTAATAGAGCAAGAGAGCGAAGTCGTCGAAACCGATCAAAATAAAAATGAATTTTATTGTCCAGTTATAAAAGAAAATTTATATTTTCTGTACAGCCAGTTTCCAGCATGGAAAAGGGTAATGCGAGAATATTTTCAAAGCCCGTATGAATTCTCAAACTCAGCAGATATAGAGGCGTACTTTAAAGATTTGAAAAATACACACAATCTCAAAAATGTCATTGGAGCTCACACGTTCGTTATGCATCACGCTCGAATTCTCGATCCTCAAATCAAAATAGCCAATTGCAAATTCATGAATATTTTTAAAAAAACAGATGAAGATAAAATTCAAAAGGAAATTTCCAAACTAGAATCTGAAATCTCTCTGATCATTTATGATAGTTCAGCAGACGGTGAAAACAATACTAACACAGAAAAAGTTCAAGAAAATGTAAGTAACGAAAAGATACCATCAAAAAAGACCCCTGTAGAATGTAGATTAATCGATAATCTAAAAGTTGATTACAAAGAATCCACGAATTCTACTAGCAATGGAATGGAAACGATGTACCATGCTCATTTGCGAAATGGTCATTTAATCGATCCCGTGATAATAAATAACCAACGGGTGACATTTGCAAAAACTTGTGCGTATGACAGTGCAATAGAGCTATTGATATTTACTTATCAACGTAATACTATCTTTAAAAATTACGTGGATGAGAATCTCAAGGATAATTTATTTTTTGAGAGTATTACTGGATATTCGTCGCGACAGATGAACATGCAAACGTTCTACAAAAACCGAGGACTGATTCTTCAAGACTATCAAACAAACAAAAACAAAATCTATTACGATTGTGAGTGCAGCGTTAACACTCTAATAGCATACTTGTTGAAGAATCAAATGTCTTGCGGTAAAATTGTACGCTGCAAACGCTGCCATCACAAGAGAGTAGAGAAACTGCGCAATTTAATTGTAAACGATGAGTATGTAAGAAACTATCCAGAGAAAGGAAGCCAAAATTTCGTACGTGATTGCATAGAAAATCTATTTGATGAAGAAATTTTGTACTGCAGACAATGTCGCATACAAGAGCAGACAGCATATGGTTCAACCTCATTGGGTTTTTTTTTGATGATTGATATCAGCAAAGTTTTCGAAGACTATGAACTGCCAAACACCTACATTCCAACTAGATTAATGATACAAGATATAAATTTAATTTTGGCAGGATTTATCGTTAGGGTACCTGGCCACTACTTTACCTACTGCTATAACCATCTTAGTGACAGTTACGAGATAAAAGACGATTTACAAGTTAAATCTACGTTCACCAAAACTTTGCCGCGCAACTTAAGCATTTGCACGTTAATGTATGTGATGATCGACGAATAGATCGATAGCGAGAAGTGTGATTGCGAGTTTTTGTATTAAAATATCAATCATCCATATCAAATGCAACTAATTTTGACAGACTGATGCATAATAAAGTTTTTAAAATGAGTCATTATCGCCTAATGAAAACATCCTTTTTGCAAATCTTTTCAGCATTTCTTCGTTAAAACTCTCAATGTCGGAGACATGGCAGGACTTCGATTTTTAGCATAATCCAAGCATAGTTACACCTAGAAAAATAGTACATTACGATACAAGTGCGCAAAGTAGGCGATTCCCGCACGCGCAAGGGTTACCGACCGAGCGAAGCGAGGTCGGTAACGCGCGTGCATGATCGCCTACTTTTCGCACGCGTATCGTATACTATTTTCTCGTACGAGATGCGAAAAGTTCGATTATACTTTCAATTTGTGAGATGGGTGGAAAAAGAAGGTTTTATAATTAAGGAATAAATGTGGAAAAACACGCAAAACATTTTTTTTCCCCATTGACAATGTAGATGGCGAAAAATATTGGGAAAACGAAGTCCTTTCCCACTCCGCGCAAATCATTTTTAAAAATGAAAATTCAAAAACTATGTTCTTGAGGTCCGACGGAAAACATTCTGCCAGTACAAATTTGGCAGTTGTCCTTTCGCGTTTGTCCTTTCTAGTTCCTTTCAATTCAAAAAACATGTCTAAACAAAAGGTGCTACAGAAATAAATTTGGCAAATACAATAGATTTAAATAAACATTAAATTTAAAAACATTTAAATTACATTAAATTTTTATAACTGTAATGTAATCATAAATATGTCTGGAGATAAAAAATAAAATTGATTTTTCCTAGATTTTTTTCATTGGAGAAAATTTATCTTCCTTAATTACAGTAACTGGCGAAAATTTGTCTTCGCCAATTACAGTAATCGGGAAAAATGTATCTTCCCCAGTATTCCCTCGTTAAACTTTGTAGGCATTAACGCATTTTCTCCGTGCGCAAAGTATTTCCCCCACGCAGTTAGCGTGTGCAAAGTATTTCCCCGTGCGGGAATGGGTTTGCGCATGCGCAGTTCCGTATTACGATAAGCGTGCGGGAATCAAGAAAATTTTTATTGTTCTACAATACGTATCTAAATCTAATTGAAGCTCATTCACGCTGTAAGATGTATCGATACTGTTTTTACCTTCCCCAATGAACAAAAAACTCTCCTTGTTGAGTGCATCGAATCCAAACTGATTTCATGAGCCAGAAATGCCAGGACAGGTCTAGTTTTCCGGTACTTTCAGCTTAGCCGCATCGATGGCCACAAAGACTACAGATCCACAGCCACCTTGAAACCTCTTCGGTATTGAAGGATCATTTCTCGAGATCGTCCGAAACTCCAAGACAGACGTAACACGATCTAAAGAAAATAAAAATTCATTGATATATATTTCTTGAATGTGAAGCGGGGATTGAAGAGATTTTTGAAACAAAGTTCCCAATTTATCATAACTCCTCCTTCTAGAGATTCATTTGGCGAATGTTTTTTCTATTGCTGCACGAGTCGCTGCGTGCGCCTGAAATAACGATGCAACGTGTTTTCGAATCACAAGCGTCTATTCTAATTTCAGTTACCTGTATGTAGGCTTTGAATATGTGAGTGATCAACTAGTCAGTTGAATCTTTTTGTCGACCGCCTCGCCGAAGATAATGTTGCCATTCACTAACGGTCCGCGCTTTTACATGTTGCTTTGCCCAGTTAATTTTCCCCTGGCAATAGATTACCAATTTTAATGTCTTTCTCTGTTCCTCCAATTGATTGAGCACCTGAAACCACGAACATTCCATTGCTATCAATCGTTCGAATGAAGCATGAAGCATCGTATTGTAATTCATCATTATCCATCATTAAAGTCTCAATATCGAATATACAAATGATCCACTTTTCAAATATAAGAAATGCTACTACTCGTTTATGTTAACAAGTTTTACCTTCTAAAATACTGCATTGGCAGGTTTGTTAACAGCCAAGCTCTCCTTGCTCAGATGTTGGTGGCACTAAAGATGAGATAGGCAGCTCTCCGCAGTTATTCCTCGATAACGAGAGCCTGCTCAAATCGCCTTTGCCGAAATCCTTTTGAAGGGCTCGTTGATAATGGTTATTTTAGATGTCTTGCCTGCGACCATGGCCGTGGGTGATGATACCGGCCAGTAGTCGTGTCGCCTGTGCCAGATTTCGTACTCGCGGCCTGAGACCGCAGCCTTCTCCACATTGAGCCACAACGTGTAAAGCTCGGTGAAACCACCGTCAGAGATATTGAACATGAACTGTCCCTTTGCTTTCCCGCCGTTCTCTTTGTCCTTGGTGTCGTTATCTCTTTTTTCTACCTTTTTAATCTAGGTTTCTCGAACGATCTGCCCTCTGAAAATGCATGCCAGTTAATAATGCTGTTCCTCTCTTTCACCCTGCTACCTGCATATGAGTGGAGAGATAAGTTAAAGAGTTTTGATCTTCATTAAATAGATTAACAAATATTACCCCCAAAACAAAATAATAATAAGCAAGTTCAAATACAATAATACTCATGCTGTGTCAATACCCAGTGGCTGCAAGAATACATTCGTAAACAAATGAGTGACCATACAATAGAATCATTGCGCAAAAGAAAAGAAATGAGTACCGTGGTGTTACTTTATTAACGCTGGTATCCTACTGTCCTAGATACTAGATATTTGACAACTTGGAGTGTTATTATGTTGGCCCCTCTCCTCAGATTCGCCAGGATCTTGATTTCTCGCTTGATATTCTTGTTCTTAAATGGATGCAATTGTCAAAAATACAAGTCATTGATACTCTTCCAACTTTTTTTGTTTATTCAAACTTGATAAGAATATTTTAACTATACACTTTTCATTACTTTGTGATATTAATAGCTTTATGTACTTCACAGTATTTGTCACAGCCTAATTTTCTGACTAATTGATAGTCATCCTGCTGACTGCACACTAAAATGATGCAATTAAACAATCCATCTACCAAATCGCTCAAAACCAATTCAACTGTAGAATGTGCAATCTTACCTCCAATTAACAACGCAGGACTCATAATCCCAGTATTTCCTGGATTTGTGTGAGTTAAATCCTGTATATACTCATGCTTTCAAGTACTTGTACTTGGAAGCACCATATTCTTCAAACACTTAATGTAGGTTTCACCGCTGTTGTCTGCTGCACAACTCTCAAACGATCTGTCCTCTGAAAATGCACTCCAGTTAATGTTGTTCCTCTCTTTCACCCAGCTGCATGCATATGAGTGGAGAGATAAGTTAGAGTACTCATCTTCGTTAAATAGATTGGCAAATGTTACCTCAAAAAAATAAGCAAGTTCAAAAATATTAGCCAATGAACTTTGTTTAGCTGATTCTTTGAATAACTGAGAAATTCATTGCTCAAATACTCCAGAAAATATTTCTCTCAAAGTTACGAGATGCAAATGAAAAAACAATGACCATTTAAAGCACTCAAATCAGTATTCAGTACTCACACTGTCGATACGCGAAACTAAAGGCAGAGTGCCTTAATTAATTATGTAATTAATCTTAAGTAATTAAGTAAGTGCCTTAATTAATTATATAATTAATCGACAGCTCTGCCCAGTCGACAGTCACGTATGTAAATAAACATAAAGGTTAGGTGATCATGGTCGACGACAGCGGTGACGTAGAGCTCGCATGCGGAGTACGTCATGAAAGTGGGGTATACCAATAGCCAAAATACGATTTTATTGTTTATTTATTCCAGCCGTTTGGTTTGTAGATAATTGAAAAAGGAATATAGAAATCGAAAGAGAAAATTAGGAGCATTCGATTGGCATAATCATATTTTGAATTGCTCATCCGTAGGTCAAGATAGGGATTAAAAACGGGTCAGCGCCAGCAACTGCAATTTTATTTTTTATCTGGTAAACTATAAGAAGAGAAAATTTTTTGGAAGGATATTCGGAAAGAGCATTGAAAATCCTTTGATAGGGTATTTTTTTTTCAATTTTCCGACGATATGGTTGCTAAGTCGATGGAGCTAGTTAATAGCAATCATAGCAATCGCGAAATTAAGCTGGCCAGCATACCTTATTAGCAGTCGCACGGTGAACGAGAGAAAAAGTTCGTGATTAAGTCTCGGGGAAGTCCGCGTCTGTGACCAAGCGGTTCACGCTTTCGGTTTCGCCCTCGATGGCGAAACCCCGCACTCACGCACATATATATATATATATATATATATATATATATATATTTCTAAACACTTACATGCACTCGTCTCAATCAGGCGAAGGCACAGCTCCTGTCGATCCTTATCAGCTCGTCTCGGCACTCAGGAAAACTCGGGAAAAACTCTAATTATCACTAGCTGTAGCGGAGTGTTCGAGTTCTAATCTTCGACTGGTTCATTTTCATACGCGCGCGCTCCATCTCGTCTCGTGCCGAATTCCCTCATTACGCATTTTCCCCAACCGGTAGGTGCTGCCCTCGCAGGCAGCCGCATAGTTGGGCTGCTAGCGCTAATAAGACGTTTACCGTCACAATATATAATTTTAATAATTTTTATTGAATGATTTACAGAATATGAATACCAACTTATGAGAGCTGCTGTATCGGCTACTTATCGTCATCTTAAATACTGTAAGTACTTTTTATATTATTTAATATTGAAATATATATATATAAATATTTTTTTTTCAGTTGCTCAAGTGCGCAGGTAACAACGCACAACAAGTTGCCCAGCTGATACAAATGATAGCTACTGTGTATCATGTATAAGTTTTATTATTATTATTATTATTTAATTCTTTATATGATTGTATAGATTTTTATTTTTTTTAATGGATCAAAGACTCGTTAGCGGAGAAGTTGTTCGCACTACAAGTTGTGTACCAGATAGAAAAAGCAGTAGAAGATAGAGTGAGGGTGCAGCTTTGTTTCCAGAAGCGCGCCAAGATAATACGTAAAAAGCAGAAATCCTCTCGATTGAAGTGAAAAAGAAAAGCTGAACTGGTCAAGACAGAACAAGACGAAATAGCACATAAAATAAAAAAATGTATGGAAGTGCTAGCAAAATTGTCGAAGAATCTAATGCTTTCAAATACGAGAGCGTTATCTTCATCCTTATCAGCGTCACCCTTATCAACGTCGGGATCAGTAACGTTGTCATCGTCGTCGTTTGCATCGGCTGCGTCCTCATTATCCTCGTCGTCGTCTGCGTCATCATTAATGTCGTAGTTGCCTTCGTTGGAGATTTTACAGCAAAATGATGCAATTGATTTGACTACTATGGTAAGTAAACACTTTATATTTATTATAAAATTTATATATTTTAAGTGTTTACTATAATTAAAATTAATTAATATTTTTAATATTTTACAGAGAACTGCTGGAGCAATCATTGATCAAGAGTAATGAGGCTGTTCGTCGTAAGATGATTTTAATCCCAGCCGAACCAACAATGAGAAAGCCGACTTGCCCCTTCAAGATTAAAGTATCAACGAAGAAAAAATAAAATAATATAAAATTATATTATTTGTATTATTTAACATATTAATTTAATGTATTATAAAAATAAAATAAATAAAAATAAATAAGTAAAATAATGAATAAAATGCTTCATTTTTAATTAGAAAGAGGAAGAGAAATAAGTGAGAGAGTGAAAGAAGAGAGAAAAAAGAACTAGTGATACAGAGAGATATAAATATCAGCCCCTAGTGATGGAGAGAGGGAGGTCGCTTTCTAGCGCTAGCGATAGAGAAAAAAAGAGAGAGAGTGAATCACAGAGAGTTACATATAGTTATGTTGCTATGTTTAGGTATTAAGTAAAGACATATATTTAAAATTAAAATGCTTTTGTTCATTACATTTAACGTGATATACGAGGTGTGTTCAAAAAGTAAGGTGACTTTGTATTTTTAAGAAAAAATATTTATTTATTTATCAATATTTCTGTTGTCTCCTTCAAAGTAATCCCTCTCAGATACAATACACTTATGCCAACGATTTTTCCAATCCTCAAAGCACTTCTCATAAGCACTTTTCGGTATAGCCTTGAGCTCTTCCAGCGATGCAGTCTTTATCTCTTCAATCGTTGCAAATCTCCGTCCTTTCATAGGTCTCTTTAGTTTTGGGAACAAGAAAAAGTCATATGGGGCCAAATCCGGTGAATACGGTGGCTGAGGCATGATTGTGGTGTTGTTTTTGTCCAAAAAATCTCTCACAAGGAAAGATGAGTGAGCAGGGGAATTATCATGATGCAAAAGCCATGAATTGTTTTTCCACAATTCTGGGCGTTTTCTTTGTATTGCTTCTCGCAAACGGCGCATAACTTCAAGATAATACTGTTTATTGACCGTACGTCCATATGGTAAGAACTCCTGATGCACCACGCCATGGTAATCGAAGAAAACAGTGAGCAAAACTTTGACATTTGATCGAACTTGGCATGCTTTTTTCGGTCTTGGCTCATCTGGGCTCTTCCATTGGGACGATTGGACTTTGGTTTCGATATCATAACCATATACCCATGATTTGTCACCAGTTATGACCCTTTTGAGTAAATCTGGGTCGCCTTACTTTTTGAACACACCTCGTACAGTAACTTACACATTTAGTTTATTTAGCTTATATTCACTTGTATTAATTACATTTTATTTAGAGAGTAAACTATATTAAACTAATTTCTTTACATCACCGTTGATTAAATTATACTACACAATTTAATCATGTAGTATCAAGCAATATTATCAGCTACAATATTACTATCAAGGCTACAATATTATCAGCAAAATCTTCTTTCATATCAAGCTTGAAGCAGACGTGTACAAGAGTACTTTTGATAAATTCATTTTATTTCGAACAATCTATTACGATTAACGGTAATTTTTCGATAGAATTTATTTTATTAAGCAATAGTTCATTTTCTTTTCCATAAAATGAGCTTTGAAAGTTAGCGTACATATTATAAAGTACTGCATACTAGTTTTGAGTAATGTTTAAATTAAGATTTCTATATGGATAGCATTGAAAGTTTAGAGATAACTTAACATCACAAATGTTACAATGACCAAAGTGACTAATTACTTAATTTTTTCATGGTGTTTGAAAGGCTAAAATAACGAAACGAAGTTTTTTCAATTGATTTTATGTCTTCACACTCAACCATAGTTAGATGTGCGAGGTAATTTTGGATACTCGTAAAATTCCCAAGTGCAATAACTTATAGTGATTGCTTTATTATGACTAATTTGATTAAGTAATTTGATTTTTTTTTCTATCGGCTGCTACTACATATGGCATTAAACTATTCAATTTAATTCAAAGTAATTTTAATTTTTTCATAAGTAATTACTTCATTTGTATCGGAAGGTGTAGTTATGATAGCATTCAAATCATTTCTCGATTTTGTAATAATAAGCTCATGTTTGATATTTACTACGATTTTTCGATAATCTACAAATCCAAGCAGCATACTAAGGGGTATAGTAACATCGAAATAACTTTCGTCATTTGTAAGCGATACTTCTTTGTCACTAGTCTAACTAGCATTTTCAGCAATTAAATTTTTGACTTGGATTGAGTGATAATCAGTTCTTCATAAGACTTGTCAAGCTTTCATAAGACTTGTTCATATCGTATCTCCTCAAACAAATGGCATATAGCATTATTAACTAACTTAGTTTTAACTGCTATATTTCCATTTTTCTGAGTTAATCTGCTGCAAATATGAATCATACTGCGAGGTGGAAGGATTGATAAGTCTTGATGTTGAATTGAGATACAAACTTCATCATTATTATTGAAATGTGATAATAAATAAGGTTGATGCACATGAACTTCGTAATGAGCTAACGAAAGTGACACCTGAATGAATATTTAGAATTTTGTCCATTTTGATGTAAGCAACACACTAATATACACGATACTTTCCGCCAGTTGATGTATTTTCTATTACTTTCAGTCCTAGACTTTTTAGGAACTGAATGTTCTGACGTGTGAGCGCTGTGGTAACTCACGGTCGACTGATCACTGACTGACATTGTAGTCCATTCATATCTTCGTCCAATTTTATTGTTATTAAATATGATTCCCATCACGATATTGCTTTGATGTGAATACGTATTGTGATGACTTCTCCTCGAAAATTAATTAAGTTTTCGTCTTGATCAACAATACGTATTTCTAAATGATCAATACTTCTCACGGCAATTGGTAAATAAATTATGTGTGAAGGTACTTCAATTATTTTATATCTAGGTGATACTGCTAGGAAAAATTTATCTATATGCACTTTAGGTTCGTTTATATAAGAACCTGTCGTAATATTACACTCTATGCGTAAAGCGTTCACTTTGAATGTAGTTACAAATAAATCAAAGTTATGAGTTTCGTTTGCAGATAGTTCTCGTCTAGTAAAGCCTAAAATTAAACCAATAGAATCTTCTGGTTTGAAATTTATTTTATGACTACACTGAATAACACTACGTAGAGTATTATTGTTTGGTTTTAAACTAATTGATATTTCATTAAGCGTTAGAGTTTCTTGTAGAAAACTCAAAATATCTTCTATCTCATAGCTACTTGTCGGTCAAACGATTTCGTGTTCACCAACGTAAAATTTATAATTAACATCATCAATATTTGGTATTGAATTAAATGTTAATATCCACTAAGCCTAGTACATATTGTTTATTAGGCGACAGCTCTATTGGCGGAAAATAATTTCCTTCAAGAATTGATGAATTTCCGGACAGATTCAATGTTAGTATACACTCCATCAAAGTTTTTCATTAAATGACTGCTTTGTCATTAATTACATCTATTTATAGTTTATTCGAAAGAAAATTTTAGTCAAAGATGTCCGCAGTTATAGGTATTGAAATCTTGATATCTTATATAGTTATATTTGAATCTTTTGACTTTGAGATAGAGTAATAAATCTATAGGAGGTTGAAGATTGTCAAAACTATTAAAGTATATAACTTCATCATTTTTCTTTTTATATGCCACCCAGTGCCAACCTAGTCCATTTGTGTCATCTAAACTGATAACAGCTGATTCTTGGTAGTGAGGTTCGTCGGATGGTAAATTGTTACGCATGAAAACACCTCGAAAATTTGCATTTTAGTATTTTAGCATTTTTTTTATATCTAAATCAGTCAGAGCGCGTTTAGCCAAAACTATTTCAAAGTTTTTTTTTTCTTAAACCTTGTCCGCTCACATGTGGTTTGCGGGGGAGAGATTACTATGAGGCTTCAGATAAAGACCTTTACCTGTAGCAATAGCTTCCATAGTTTCGTTATGTCTTTGAGCCTCTTTCAGCTTATTTTGAGCAGCATTAGCGCTGTTCATAACTTTCGCTATTGAAACAGCTCCTTCGGCTAGAGCTCCAGTGGCGCTTAAAGCAGCAAATAATAAGCAAGAAAAAGGAAGCGCTCCACTAATTTTATTTTATTTTTACCGCCGGTCTTTTTCACAGCTTTTTTCACTCCTTTTATAGCCAAACGAATGACTACAAGAGATCGATTGTTAGGCTCATTACTTTTCGAGGCGTCCTTAATAATTTTATTCAATGTAACTGATAGCTTTTTCCTTTTTCTACATTTCTTTCGTGCTTGGCATTTTTTGATTCCTCTGCCTCGTTTCTTTCTACCTTTCATCATATCATGAAATCATATTAACACCTATACCAAGCTTATTTTTATCTTTCATAGTGTTGGCTACGGTGAAGGCAGTTGCTTTATCACCAAAACTACTATCTTTAGCTAGCACTCTTTTCCAAGCTTTTTTAGCTAGAATTTCATCAGCTTTATTTCTTGTCGCAATATCCTCTCGATTTTGCAAATAAGCGATATCGTGTTCTTTACAAGCAGCGTCTAATGGATTTGTACCAGGATCTCCACGCGCAAATCGTTTGTTCAATTTTGTACCAGGACCACAATACTGATATTCAGGATAGTGAGCTTCAATAGATAAATTATTTATGATCTTGTTTATTCTTTAATTTTCCTCTGTTGTGTAATATTAGAAATTATTATCAATAGTGTATAACCAACAGTTGCAAAATGCTTTCGAAAGATAGTCAAAATGAATTTTCTTTCAGTGAAACTGAAATTGTCAACTGTGAAAATTATAGTCAATTATGTGTATCACGAAGCATGATTTAGAAAGGCCTGAAATATAAGTAGTAATGCCGTAAAAATTTCAAGTTAATCCGATTATGAACAAGGCTACTATATACTAGATGTACACAATGAGATGATATAGATGAACAAATTTTTTTCTTGATGAATTTTATCAGTTTAGACTATTTAAAATTGCATGAATTCTCGAATACTGCTTACTAAGAAAATATGTATTTTCTTTCTTGTTGATTGTGTCATTGTGACTATTAATATGTAGCATGTCAGATATTAATCTTTTTTTCTAATTACTTTCTCTGTCTAGGATTATTGTATTATTCCAATCAAAACTGTGATCCGGATTTTTTAAAAATATGTAATGGAACTGCTAAAATGTTCATTCCTATTGATTTTTTATGTTCATTTATTCTAATTTTTAAACTACGTTTTGTTTCACCTATGTATATAGCAGGACATGACTTACAGTTAAATTTGTATACCACACCAGTTTAATCCCATCTACAACTATTATCTTTGCCTAATTTTCTGATATAATTTAATTTGTGATTAATTGTAGGAACATATTTAATATTGAATTTTTTAAAACTATTACTACATTTGTAAAACCAGTCATGAATAAACGGAATCAGCAAAATTGTATTACGGTCACATTCATTCTTATTGAAATAATTAGGTGTCATAGTAGTTCTCTATTTATATCTATATTGACTGAGTCTATTGTCAATCTGTGTAGATATAAAGTACTCCGGGTAATTGTTTTCTTTTAATATATCCGTGATCAAATATAAATTAGTATTATGAAAGGACTCATCAGATAAATAAATCGTCTTGTCAACTCAATTGAAAGTTATATTTCTCGTTTGTTGGATCATATGATTGGAATAATAATTCAATAATCGATTATGAGGTCTGTCCGGAAAGTATCAGGCCTACCTTTATATTTTCGTGCTAGCGTTATTCTTTATCATCTGGTGGATGGCAACCTTCAAAGTAATCCCCACTTGATTGAATAACACGGTTCCATCGATGTTTCCACTTTTCAAAACAGTCCTGGAACTCACTTTTAGGGATAGCCTTAAGTATACTCGTCGCATTGTTTTCAACCGTTGTTTTGTCATCAAATCGGTGTCCTTTGAGTCGTTTTTTTAGTTTTGGAAACAGCCAAAAGTCACAAGGGGCTATGTCGAGACTGTATGGAGGTTGTCGAAGCAATGCGATATTGTGTTTGCTTAAAAACTGCTGCACAAGATTGGATGAATGCGCTGATGCATTATCGTGATGGAGAAGCCAGTCACCACTTTCCCAAAAGTACGGCCGTTTTCTTCTTACTGCATCACGCAAACATTTTAAAATTTGAACGTAGTATTCTTTATTGATTGTCTGACCTGTTGGTGCATATTCGTGATGTACAATACCTTCACAATCGAAAAAAACAATCAACATTGACTTAACATAGCTCCGACTTTGACGTGCTTTTTTGGTCTTGGCGATTCAGAATGCTTCCACTGTGAAGATTGTTGTTTTGTTTCGGGATCATAATCATAAACCCATGATTCATCACCTATAATAACTTTTCTAAGCACATTATCATCATTATTGACCATTTCCAGATTGTCCAGAGCGATTTCTAAGCGAATATTCTTCTGCTTTGCTGTGAGCAATTTTGGGATGAATTTCGCACACACGCGTTTCATTCCTAAATTTTCGGTTGAAATTTCTGAAATGATAGTTTTTGGTATCCCAAGGTCTTCTTCTAGTTCTCGTACAGTCATACGACGATCTTGTTTGATTGCAAGTCGCACCCGCTCAATATTATCTGCGGTTTTTATCGCCGAAGGTCGGCCGGAACGAGAATCACTATCGACAGAAGTACGACCATCCTTGAACCTTTTATACCACTCTTTTATTCGTGTTTTGCTCATACACTCGCTTCCGAAGGCCTTTTGCATCATTTCAATATTTCCGAACTCGTTTTTCCGAGTTGAAAGCAAAATTTGATGGAAATTCGTTGATCTTGTTTTTCAGTCATTTTTGACAATATCAATATTTGACGAACGCGAAAAAGGCACTGTAAACAAAGACACGCTGCGCATGAACTATACGTCCAGCAGGTGTCAGTAAATAACCAATAGATTCGTGAGGCTTTACTGTTGACGTTTCTGTCCGGTAGAGGTCGCTCGAACACTATGGCGCGAAGATATAAACGTAGGCCCGATACTTTCCGGACAGACCTCGTAGAAGCTAAAAGTTTTTGATACCAATTTGTGATGATCCGATTATTACTACTCTTATTATGAAGCATCACATTTACGAGGTCTGTTCAAAAAATATCGCGAATTTTGTATGTTTTCAAAAATTATTTATTTATTCATGAATACCTATTTTATCTCCTTCAAAGTAATCCCCCTCAGGTATAATGCACTTATGTCAATGTTTTTCCCAATCCTCGATCTTGTTCAGCTCCTCCTTCGATGCCATCTTTATCTCATTAATCGTATCGTAGTGTCGTCCTTTCATAGGCCTCTTCAGTTCTGGAAACAGGAAAATGTCATAGAGGGCCAGGTCTGGGAAATACGATGGCTCTGGTACCATTACTGTGTTGTGTTTGACTAAATATTCTAGCACGAGCAACGATGTGTGAGCAAGGGCATTATCACAGTGCCAAAATCAGTTTTTATTCTTCCACAAATCCGGACGTTTCTGACGGATTGCTTCGCGTAAATTGCGCATAATTTGCAGGTAATATTCCTTATTGACATACTACCCTGTGACAAGAACTCATTATACACCACGCCCCTGTTAGGTTTTAGCTCATGCAGCAGATTCTATTGGGATGATTAGAGCCTATTAATGGTATAGAGTATCATGCTTTCAGCGAACATGGGACAGTTATTTCACCAGATAAATCAAGACCAAATTCTATCATGATTTTCGACCATATAGCCACTGAGAAGCAAGATAACGTAAGAGCATTCTTCTGTATGGGAAAACACAAAAAAGTAGATAGTTTCTATTTTTATCAACCATACGCTCGCATTTCGAAGCATCTCATTCGAGATAATATGAATTTATTGTTTTTTTCGACAAGATGACGTGAATATTAAACACATTTACTATGATCACGTTAACTCGAATATGTCTTTTAAGAAGTTTAAAGCAGTTTGTTCAAATGTTGGAGAGACGATTAACATGGATTTTTAGTTATCAACAGAGACAGACCAATAAATCATGAATGATATGGAAAGGAATTTGTTTTTTTTGATATAAATATAGCGAAGTGAGCAGATGAAGATTATTTAACTTTAGAAATTACGAGCGTAAACATGGCTGACTTTGAAAGAGAAAAGAAGGTGCTCGAGCAATTATCCTAGACTCATGATGCCATAAGACGCAAGTCAACTAATAAAATATAGCAAAGCTGATTTAGAAAATTCATTGCATGAAACTTTTAAAGCTATGGTTGATCCATTGAAGAAACTTGTAGAGGTAACTACTGATAAAAGTAACGCTTCTAATTTATCTAATTTATCTAATAACGCTTCTTCTTTATGAACAATTAGATGCAAGTAAACCTATAGCAATAACTTTTCTGGATCTTGCCAAAGCCTTCGACACAGTTGACCACAAGATACTGTTACAAAAATTATACTACTATGGTATTAGGGGTAGTGCCTATAACCTTATCAAAAGCTATCTAACAAATAGAAAACAATGTGTGAAGGTAAATAATGCAAGTAGCGATAAACAAATAGTAAAAATGGGTGTTCCACAAGGAACTATACTGGGTCCGCTACTTTTCCTACTATACATAAATGATCTACTGACGATACTACCAGAAAAATCCATACTATCTTTTGCAGACGATACAGCAATCATAGCAAAAGGTAAGAATTGGAAAGAAGCTGAAACTAATATGAACAGTTATCTAAAAATAGTGGGAATTTGGCTTACTCTTAATAAACTATCTTTGAATATAGACAAGACAACGTACATGGAATTTGGAAATTATCATGACAGTAAGCCAAAAAACCTGAAAATTGAAATCTTCGGACATCCAATACACCGAGTTGAAAACACAAAATATCTTGGAGTTACTTTTGACAGTAATATGAAATGGGATTTACATCTACAAATCCTATACAAAAAAACAAAATATCTAACATTTGTCCTATATAAGCTATCAAAAATAATGAATACTAGTACATTAAA